CTAGATATTGAGGGTGGAGGGTCAGTTTTAACACTGAAAGATGTTAAACTGGGATTCCTGTGAAAACTTGATTTTCTGAAGTACACAGATAGGCCGAGGAAGACATTCAGTAGCCTGACTAAAGTTTGGGCAAGCAGAGAATCACTGTCAGCTTCTGTATCAAATACACCATGATCCAGAATGCAACTTCAGACTTCATTTTTACAGTATACTATTTAAAATTACAATTTCTGCAGTAACTAAATAATTCATAGCAACTCTTTTCCTTACTAAACAATTTTCACAGCACTGAGGCCTGTCTGTTCCAGTGTATTTGGAGAAGTATGTTAACATCCTCTCGTGGTGAGTTTATGAATAAGAATAAAAAAATCATGTTGCTGGAAACCCACTGTGGCTATTTGGAGAACCGTATGTTCTCTACCTTCAGGCTTGACTTATTCTTTGACTTTAGCCCATTCCACGGAAAGCTCTTATTTTAAGACATGCTGATTCCCAAGAGTTTCTATTATTCTGAACTGCAAGAACAAATCTCAGATTTTCAAAACTCAGTTCACCCAACCCCAACACACTGAAAAATGTCTGCCCTTAAGAGTAACACAATTCCCAATCAGCACACCTAGGTTAGGAGCAATTCCTGGAGGTCTGCTTATTAAGGCAAGTCCTGTTTCTCTCCTACTCAAGAAAGCCTTGTTAAGTAAAAAGAGCACACGTAGAATGCCCAATGAGGCCAGTAACTGATGGCCAAGTGCCACCTGACATTCACAGAATTCTTTGGCTCTTGAACTTACTACCAAATGAGGACGGTTTCCCTTCCCATCATCAATGACAATACACCCATTTCTATAAACTTGCTATTTTGAGAAACAGAATCAATAATTAGTCAATAGACAAAAATTAAGGAGATTTATTTTTGGTAAAACCATATAACTAGTTTGAATAAGGCACATTTGTCAACATCTATGAAAAACAAATGCAAACACAATCATGGTTACATAAGGAAGAAGGGGAATATGCAAAATTTTGACATTAATATGGGCAAAGTCCATTTATGTTTGTTAAGTAGAAAAAAAAGCAAAATGCAGTTGTTTGAAGGTCAATGTGTACTTCTTTTATGACAGGGATGACAAACAGATTTTAATCTCCTGTAATTTGACCAACCAGAACCAACTGCCTGAAGCTTTGGGCTGAGAAGGCAGAGGCCAGTGTGGGCACAGGAACAAGGATCTGACTACTGTGGGCGGGGGTGCCAAGCGTCACACCTTCCTACCTACTCAGCCCGCTGCTTCCCAAGTCCAAAATGTTCTTTCTGGTTCAGGTGACTGCTCTTAGCCAAGGACAAATTTAGTTTAAGAGCCTCAATAAGGAAAAATGGGAGAGCATTTCTCAGTATAGGAACCAATCTATGGATTTTTAAAGCCATCAAAACAAACTGAAGTAAACAGAGCATGTAACCTTGGGAGGAAAGGCATTGAAGACTAAATTATTTGTATTTGTATATTTACCAATTATTTACAGATTACGGGATACTGGTTGTGTTCTCAGGCCATTTAGACAAAGCTAGTGCTCTTAACTAGTTAGTAAAATTTTAAAACCAGTCGAGGAGCACTGCCATATACAGATCTGATAGGGCAGTATTTTGGAAATAAGTTTCAATAGCCCAGTCTCTGAATGAGGCAAATTTAGGCCCCATATCATCAGCTACTTTAAGCCTAAACCCTAAAACTTAACATAATAGGAATAAGGGATATCTTAAACTAAGTCACCTGGAAAACTGTTTCACACAGATATTTTTAGTTAGTTCTCTCTAGAATTGGTAATACCTTCTTTGTAAATGTATTATTCAAAACAAGCATTCCCCATGTGACTCACAAGCCTCAGTATTTCATAAACTCATAGAACCCTTAGAAATATTTTAAAATAATCTTTTCATCATATTTCTATGGACTATAGTATTTGTAATCATTAACAATAATCATAATACACATATAAAGACAAATATCAAGTCCCATTGAGTAAGTGATATAGTGTCCAAGGTATTTTAATTTTGGAAAAACACAAACAAAACAGAACCACTATGACTTTTCAATAAATAAATTTCAAAGTGAAATATATTATGCTCAGATTGACAAAATATTAAAATGAAGATTAGTATTTAACTACAAATTCAACAATGACAAATAGATTAAAAACTGCTTTTATAAAATGATATAGACAAGGCTTTACTTTTATAATTGTCTTACTTGTCTTACTTTTATAATTATTTATTTCCAGATGATAAAAATAAGGTGTCAGGTTCCTATTTGAAAGTCCTTCTTTATCAATAAACTGTATATAGATATAAGCTTTATTCCCATTAAATGATAATCAGATATAATGATTACATGTTCTGCCTAGGTTTTGAAGTACTAGACACCTGATTATGCTGCATAAAAACTGGTCAGATGTATACAAACACAGTCCCAATGAAGACCGCCTCGCTGAACTGCCACTTTCACATGCTGAATTCATTGTAGTTTTAACATCAGTGCTCCTTATGCTTCCCATATGCATCAAACAATTAAAAACTGTGAAAGGGGCAAAACCACCTCAGCAGCTAACACTGTTTACCTGGGTCTTTACCCGGAGGATGGTGGGTCACAGGCCTGCTGAACCTTACTCACCACATAAGCTTGGCAGGTTTCAGATGAAATCTATTTAAATTAGTTGATTTAAAAATTCAAAATAGAAACAACAGCATTGCTACCTTTGGTTTTATGAATCCCCTAGAACTTCACTGCTAACCCTTGGGAACTGGGAAACTCAAAATTTACCCCATGGGGAAAGACACTTAAGTCTAGAGACAGTCTATAGTTCTATCAGTTGCTTTCAGAACTCTGGTATCACTCAAAGAAGTGACTTACATTAATGTATAACATAATGAGAATTTTCTGTGATAATAATTAAATGGCGATGCTTGGATATCATGCATGGTTATCGTAGGTCCAGAAGTCATTGTTCTAAGTCAGACAAACTATCTATTACAGTAATGAAAGCTGAACATAAAAGAAAATTTGGAAACTTGAAAAATGTAAAAAAAAAAAATAGGTACAACTGAATAGAAATTAACTTGAGTACATTATATAATAGATTTTATTTGTACATTTAAAAAACAAAGTTTTACGCTTTAAGAATAATCATTTTATTCATGAGAAGACCCAGAGCTAACATACTGCTTCTTTTAAAAATGATTTTTGAAATAGTGGACAGAAAACTGACAAGTTTCAGTTGACTGTACGTATACATTGAAGGAGACTTTTTTAATGACATGAGTGAATGAGTGAAAGTCGCTCAGTCGCGTCTGACTCTTGCGACCCCATGGACTATACAGTCCATGAAATTCTCCAGGCCAGAATACTGGAGTGGGTAGCCGTTCCCTTCTCCAAGAGATGTTCCCAACCCATGGATCAAACCCAGGTCTCCCGCATTGCAGGTGGATTCTTTACCAGCTGAACCACCAGGGAAGCTGTTTTTAACAGACCAAAGAGTTTTTTTTAAAAAAAAGTGACATTTGGAAATGTTTTTCTCAATTATACTGAAAGGAAACGAGGAAACACCATAGTCAACTGAATGAAGAAACGATCTTTGTCTGTGATCTGAGTCACTGATGTCATGTGCATACTCCACACTGGTTCTTTATAGGTCCGAGGTAGCACAGGTCAGCAAGCATCAGTTCTACAAGGCACCACTGGTTTTGTGTGATGTAATGCTAGCATCTGAGATCTAGAAATATTGAAAAAAAATTGAATATGGTATATAGACTTTCCTTTCATTTCTACTGATTTTATACTGTATTGATATTGATCTTAAATACACTATGTTTCAACTTTTTGTTCAGGAAGATCTCGCCTCAAATCCAGAAGAGTCCTTCCCCAAGGCCCCAGTCAAAACAGTCCCTTTAGGTATGTGGCCCCACACTCTGCTGAGCACAATATCAGGTCTTGGTTAGAACAAACTTATATGTTTTTCCTGTGACAAACACTGTCAATGGCTTCTTCCTCCCATATCTTTATTATCTCTCTACAGAAATCAACAAAGACCCCTATATCTTCTTACTGTTTTTGAAAATCCTTCCACCCTTTAGTCACTGGACTTTAGAGGTCAAAACTTAGCTGAAATATTCTAGGTTCATGGCAATAGTTCCTAGGTGTGCCATGTAATGGGTTAGATCCTTCACTTGGTCAACATCATTTTACTAAAGTTTCTGCTTTAGGGGTTGAAATGCAAATCAATAATCACTGTCTCCATAAACACTGTTCTAGAGCTTTCTTACAATCACAGAACATGATCCAACAATTAACACTAGCTGTTAAAACCTCTTAGAATCTACCTACCATTTCTACTTCCTCTCACTAAGTATAATAGCTTCTGCATTTTTCTAATTGTTAACCTACTAGTACTTCTAACTAGAAGGTCAAGAAATGAGCTGCATTATATAATGTTCCATCACTGTACAATAAGCAAACAGTATGGTAAAGTTATGCCAATGTACCCATATAAAAACCTACTATTCAATTGGTTATTAAAATCAGTTCTGCATAAAGCATTCAAACTCATCTTAGACAATACAGAATTCCATCAGGAGAGACAGAAATGCTGAGTAACAGAAATTAACAAAAGCGTAGAAATCTGCTAGTAAATACTAGTTTACACATTCTGCTATTCATCTGTAGGTCTTTATATTCTTCATAAATAGCATGTCTCTAGGATAAACTTGTATTTCATCTTCTACCTACTCATGAGTTTTAATTCATTTCTTTCTACCCATTTCCTATCTTCTAAGCTGTCTTTTCCCTTAATCAGTGATTTTCAAACTTATCAGCAGAACTCTTTATTCCAGTTAAATCTTATGTAGGATCTCAATATGTAAAATGGCAAAAGCAGAACTTCTCTGATACAAAAGGGAGAGGGGCCAGTAGACAGCTTGGAAATCACTGCTCTATATCAGAAAATTGAAGCAAAGATACAGCCAGTTGCAATTTATTCATTTGCAATGATTATAAACAGTTCCCCCATTGTTTCCAATTTTTAAGAACATTTCTTGAGCACAGGCTGCTTTTCCCTTAGAGCTCATTAACGGAAGAAAACATAGGGCCTTACATATAGTATTTACGTAAATAAGTATTTGAATTCTTGTGTCCTTTTTCATACTACTCAAAAGTGCAAAAAAGCATAAGATGTAGTCCTGCAACTAGGTTATTAAAATGAGTTTTTAAAATATTTAACATGTAATAGAAAATTTTAAAAATTTATAACTGTAATTACTTTAATCTGAGTCCAAATACTATCCAAAAGGCTCCTTAGAGTCTCAAGAAAACAAAAATCACTCTGTAGTTACTGTGAGATTATCTTCCCATTTAATCATTCTGTTGCTCTATTTTTGGATTGGAAAAAATTCCTCAGTTGTATATACCTGATTCACTTGAAAGGCAAGGAAAGAAAGTCAGGTCAACTTTTAGCTTTGCCAAGCTTAGATTAGAAAGATTTTACAGAATGTAAAAAATGAAAATTTCTTTTCTAAAATAAGCTTGTTTGTGCTTTCCAGGCACTTCCTCACATTCATCAACCTCCTTCAACATAAAAAGGCTTTTCAACTGACTTTTTAATAATCCCATGCCGACCATAACCACCTCTGTGCTTAGCTTATACAGAGCAGCCCCGTTCTTCTATGCTCCTCACTGGCTGGACGGGCAGCACCAGGTGGGAAATACGGCTCCACAGCCCACTCAATTTGTCTGAATCCATTTGGTTGAAGGAGCTGGGAGTGTTAGAGTTGGTAAACCTCGCCCAGAGAAAATCTCGCACTTTCTCTTCGGTTTCCCTTGGGCTGACACTTGCTTCTAATGCTTCCTCCTCCAGCAGGACGGTCAGGACCAGGGCCACATCTTTAAAGGCAGCGTTCTCATAGTCACAATACTTGTAGAAGATCAAGGTGGAGCCTGCAGGAAGGGATTCAAAGCGATGGACCACAGCTGCTTTCTGGCCCTTCTCAAATCCAGAGCTCAGCTCCATGTCAACTGAATGCTTGACCTGATCACTGTCCTGCAGGGTTTTCCCAGCCCCATCAACCTGAATGGCAGGGACCTTCTGGGCAGATGTGTAGGCATCCGCAACATAATGGCTGAGGCACTTCAGGGTCTCTCTTCCCTCTCGGGCTGCTGTGAATATGATGGTGGCTGGCTCACTGGGGTGTGAAGTGTTGAGGTGCTTCTGGAGAAATTTACGTGCTCTCTGCCACAGAAAGGAACTCTGGCCTGGAAATTTATCCTTCAGTTGGCTAAAATGAACCAAGAAAGCCTCCAATGCTGGATTTTTGGGGACTTGCTGGGCTGGAGACGAATAGTAGCTATTAACAGAACTTAGCAGAACTATGGAAAGAACCAGGAAGCCAAGAAAGATGGGGCCTGTCAGAGAAAAAGAAAATAAAAGACAAAATTAGAGAGAATGAGTCAGAAATAAAGCCTGTGGCAAACTAAAAAGAGGCAAGTACACTGTCAGATTTTACTGGCTGTGTTGTGTTTCTTTTGCTTAAATCCTTATAATTTTTAGCTGTTAAAATCTACCGGAAATACTTTCTAATTTCTTAAATTATTTAAAGATATAATATCTTTGTTAAAAGGTAAAATCTAATTTATATATATTTTTTGCTATATCTAATGATGTGATTTAGAAATGAACTATCAGCATATTCTTCTATCAATACCTTCTCAGAAGTATCTACTACCTACAGGCCATTTTTTTCTAAATGGTCAAAATGTAAAAATGCCACTTTAAAAGTTAATACTTTCTTTCTCACTGAAAAGGTAGCTTTAATAGGAAGCTATATTTAATATCTTTTAATAGCCTATAATGAAAAATCTGAAAAAATATACATATATATAATTAATCACTTTATTGCTCACCTGAAATTAGCACTACATTGTAAATCAGGTGTACTTCAATCAAAAACTGTTTCAGTTTCTTGTTTATGAAAAGACCTTCCTCCACTGGGAATTCCCATTTTGTTAAGGATGGCAAAATGTTGGCTAAAACACCTAAAGGGAAAAAATCCCTAAAACTCAATTGCTCTATTCTCATATTACTATCAAACATTTAAAAAAAAAATTAAAACAATGCTAAAACTGTTAAATCTGCTAGTTTTCTGGCTATTTCTCTGAGAATTTCTGAATGTGAATTACTGCAGTAAAACCAGTTTTGTTCTCACCATAGCTCAAAAAATCTTTTTTATCAGTCCTTCTTATGGTATCCTGTGCATTTTTCTCTTTGTTTTCTTCCAATTCTTGTGTTTCTTGTTGATGTTTCTCGGCCTCTGGAAAAGAAAAAAAAACATTATTATCAGACAGTGTACACTAATGAAAGTGTGCATACCTTTATACTTCTTACCAAAGCAAAGGATTTGACTGAGGATGCCATACTTCATAAAATTTTATTTTGTACAAAGCTAATTATTTTTCCTGTCTTCTACTTAAGGCTCACTATTGTACTTTATTCTACTTAGAAGAATAAAATAAAATGCTGTGAAATCACTTAAGGATACATCCACAATTCTTCACTAGCCCTTATATCAAGGACAAAGAAACAAGATTGCAGCCAAACCTATCTAAAATGTGACTTGACAAAATGTACAGAACTAAGAAGGAATTTAAGAAATGTTAGCTATACACAAGACTCAACATCATGGGTTTCAGTATTCATCAATAATTTCAGTATTCAGTTCTGTTCAGTTCAGTTGAGTCGCTTAGTCGTATCCGACTCTTTGCGACCCCATGGCCTCCCTGTCCATCACCAACTCCCGGAGTTTACTCAAACTCATGTCCATCGAGTATTAGTCATCACTAATTTCAGTATTTATATTTCAAAAGGTTCCTCAACTCCCAAATATGAAAAAACAGACACTAAGTTTAAAGATAGGAGAGATTACTATACACTAATAGCTTACTTTGCAAAATAACTTAGAAAAGTAAGCCTGAAAATTAATGAGTGAGGTGCATGAAACAAGGAATACAAGGTTAAGAAAACTTATGAACTATATAAAAATGCAGGTATGGGGTGTGATATCAATCTCAATTTATATCACATTTGTGATCAAATGTGTTGGTGAAAAGGAGGCAGTATTTTGTAGACTCTGAGCTAAGTTTCTCTAGAGTCAAAATGTGTGCCTGACCCCAGCCAGGTACCTCATATAACGATGACGGCTGACTACTGCCCATAATCCTTACTAGAGAAATAACTCAAATAGCATACTCTATTAACATAAAGGAGTAGAGTCATCTCCACCTATAAAGAACAGTTAATCAGATCACACCAAAATGTGGGTTTTTAAAATATCATGTCACAGAATTTAAGGACTGAAAGGATCTGTAATGATCACCTACTCTAGCCCCCTACCTTACCTACTGTGACAAAAGGTCCAGAGATGTCAAGGGCTTTGCCCAAGGCCAAGCTGAGATTAGAAAGAGGTTTCTCATCTCCTAGATGAGCTCATTCCATTATATTAAGCTGCTTCTCACACATGAAAATGCATTTTTAAAACAATGTTTTCTTCCCCTACTCAGTGAACCTGGGTAACAGTGAAATTCTGATGGCACATATTGGTCCATATACAACTGCTATCATTTGCTCATTTAACAAATATTCATGAAGTCACTTCTTTGTGCCACATGCCAAAGAAACACAATGAATGAGACATAGCCCTTGTCTTCACTCAAGTTAATAGTAAACTAATGAAACACATATTTGAGATCAGCCATTGAGTTACACTGAAACATGGAATTCCAGCTCGCAGTCAAGTCCAACAAAAACAATGTCTTACATTTTATATTCCTTTGCTCTGGCAAATAGGCTAAGCTTTCAGAGTACTTATACAACACAAATCCACACAATCCAACTCCATATTATCACAAAAGGTAAAAGCTGGAAGAAACCAGCTGGATATCATCTTGTTCAACTTCTTCATTTCCACAAATAGAAAACTGAAATACCAGGAAGTTGGGAGATTTGCTTGCTGCTGCTGCTGCTGCTAAGTCACTTCAGTCGTGTCTGACTCTGTGTGACCCCATAGACGGCAGCCCATCAGGCTCCCCCGTCCCTGGGATTCCCCAGGCAAGAACACTGGAGTGGGTTGCCATTTCCTTCTCCAATGCATGAAAGGAAAAGTGAAAGTGAAGTCGCTCAGTCGTGTCCGACTCTTAGTGACCCCATGCACCACAGCCTACCAGGCTCCTCCATCCATGTGATTTTCCAGGCAAGAGTACTGAAGTGGGATGCAATTGCCTTCTCCGGGGAGATTTGCTTAAATTCACCCAAATTAGGAACTGGTAGGGCTGCAACTAGAATCCATATCTCTTGAGTTCCAGTTAAAGACTTAGCACACTGCAACTATTCTTCATGAGGAAAGACAGGATGCTGTTATCCTTAACATACAAGTGGGGAAAATCAGGTATAGAGAAATAACTGATTTGCTCAAAGTCCTATAAAACTGAAATATGACTGAGTTAAGGATACTGGCTCAGATGGTAAAGAATCTGCCTGCAGTGCAAGAGACCCAGGTTCGATCCCTGGGTCGGGAAGATCTCCTGGAGAAGGGAATGGCTACCGACTCCAGGATTCTTGGATAATCCCATGGACAGAGGAGCCTGGTGGATAATAGTCCATGGGGTCACAAAGAATCAGATACATACTGTAGTGACTAACATTTCACTTCAAGGATACTATACCACTGATGCTGGTTTTTAAATATACCTATCTCTCGATTTATTTATGTAGCATTTAGTTTTCCCCAAAGCAAAAGATTTTTAAAAGTGAAAGTGAAAATATAAGAAATAAAGAAAAGGCCAAGGGTGAATTTTTTAAGTCATACCTGTGGGGGAAAAAATCATACATACAGTAAATAAATAGAAACTGTTAAAAAAATGTAGCTTATGTATAAGTGGGAAGCAACTTAATGTAGTGAGCAGAATGAGCTAGCTTAAAAGTGAAAGTGTTAGTTGCTCAGTTGTGTCTGACTCTGTGACCCCATGGACTGTAGCCTGCTAGGCTCCTCTGTCCATGGGATTCTCCAGGCAAGAATACTGGAGTTGGTTGCCATTCCCTTTACCAGGGAATCTTCCCGACCCAGGGATTGAACCTGGATCTCTCACATGGCAGGCAGAGCCTTTACCTTCTGAGCCACCAGGGAAGTCTTAGGAGATGAGAAACCTCATTTAATCTCAATGCAGTCATATCTCTTTGTGACCTTGGGCAAGATGCAAAGGCCTTAATCCTATGAAGTAAAGAGAAGCTCTCTGAAAAGAAGGGCCCCACCTATGCTGTGACAGAATAGTACACAACAGGACAGGCTCAGGGCTTTTCTCACCTGGTGCCAGCAGTCGCTTCCTCAGTGTGTGCTGGCTCTCCGGCCCTGTGCTGGAATGGCCAGGGCTCTGGGCATCCTGAGGGTCAACGACTGGTGGCTCCTCAGACGCTCCAGGTCCGTCACTGACGTGCTCGGGGAGGGCTGCAGGGCTGCCCACTACGTGTGCGTCTGTTCTTCCTACCTTGTCACTTGGAGAACACTTGGGTTCTGGATCCACAGGGTCTTCAGTCAGACTCTCTGAAGGGAGCTGGTGGCCTTGTTCTCCACCCTGAAAACTCTGGCTGTTCTCACCTTCTATGTCCTTTAGATATTTCCCATAATCTGTTTCGTCTGGATTTTCTGATTGAGCATCTATATCTGTACTTCCTGGGCCAATTGTTTCTACCTCTTGGTGGTCTTTGTTAAGACGAGGGGCAGGGTCTAGGGTCTGAGCTTCTTCAGTGCTACTTGCAGTGACTGTAGTCTCCTGAGTATTTAGTGATGGATCATTTCCCAAATCCTTCTGAGGGTCTATTGAGACAAAAATTTACAATTTTAAAAATTTCCCTACATTTTTTATTTCAACAAGATCCCTGATTAATAAAAATATTTATATAGATTTTTATGGCTTTAAGAGGCACTCTTCCTAAACATTATTTCTCTTGACTTTCACTAAAGGTGACTGATTACCCAAATTTATTATCATGCTAATCTAACAAATAATATTAATTGAAAACTATTTTGAATGGCAAACCAACTTTTGGTAATATTAAAAATACCCTCTTCCCTAATGAAACAACAGATCTAGGCAATAATCATCAATAGCAACTGAAACCATTATTTGAAAGACTGAAGAGGAATTCTGTAGTGAATGAACCAGGCTGCAACTTCCTTCTGAACCCACTGATGAATCTTAATACTACAAAAAGAAGGAAAATCAGACATTTCTAATTTCCCGAATTCGATGCAATAGGAAGTACACTATACTACCTATTCTTGCCAAACTAAAACAGAATCTAATCAAGCTTCTAGAGCTAATTACCAGTTTCCAAGAAACACAGGGACAGAGGAATACATTAAATTATGCCTCAGGAATGTAATCAGAAAAACCCAAAATGATGGAAATTCTAAGAGACAAAGACTCTGTTTCTTTAATAACAGCAGGAGATAAAAATAAATGGCAAGAAAAAATAAAAAAAGGAGGGGTGACCTATTGACTGAGATACTAGAGACACATCAACAATGTGTGGACCACATTATAGATCCAGTGTCCCACAAACCAACTGTTAAAGAAGTATTGATGAGATAATCAGGAAAATCTGAACACCAGCTATTTGATGAGATGAAGGAATTACTGGTTCATCTTATAGGTATGAAAAGGAATTGGGGTAATGTTTTCTTTTTAAAAAGGAATCTGTACCATTTGGAGATAAGTGTTCAAGTATTTTGGCTAAAAGTATATGATATCTAGATTTTGCTTCAATACAATGATATGGGTATAAGAAGAAGAGAGTATAAATGAAACAGTGTTAGCCATATGTTGATAGCAGATGAAGCTGGGTCACGGAATTAATTTCATCTCTCTACTTATATGTTTGAATTTTCCATAATAAAGTTTTTTTTTTTAAAGCAACCAAAAAGATATATCAATGAAATGCAGTATGTGACCCAAATGTAAAGAAAAAAAAAAAATGAGAAACCCAACTGTGAAGAAAACAGATTAAGAGACAATTGGGGAAATGTGAATGCTGACTGTATATATGAAGAATAGTGTGGAATAACAATTTATTTTTAGGTGTGACAGTGCTATTTTGGTTCTTTTTTTTTTTAATCTAGCTTCAAGAGATGTAAACTAAAGTCCTAATAAAATTATATCATGTCTTGCATTTACACTTAAATATTTCAAGGTAGGTAACAAGAGTAGCATTATGTAGGTAAAAGTTGAAGTTAGATGTTGAGTACATGGGACTTCATTATACTGTGCTATTTTTTGTGTGTGTGCTATTTTTATATATTGAAAAATATCCTTAATAAAATATTTAAATATGCCCTTCTCTTCTGAAAAACCAATTTAATATTTTGCCTATATTTCCTATATATACACTTAAGCAGGATAAAGAATTTAAATTTCATCTTTCCTTACAATTGAAAGATTCTGCTCTAAATAGATAGCATATCACAGCTAACTTGACTTTTAAAAATATAACTCTAAAGATCTGTCTACCATCTTTTTTTAAGATGTTATTTTCCCAATACTACAGGAGTCTCTAAAACTTAACTCTTCTTCATAATTAGGGTCTGGTATGATGGTAAAATTCGGTAAATATCAAAGAATAAGAGTCATAATAAATTAAGCAATTCAGTTCTTTTTCACTTCCAAACTTCAGTCTTGGTCACCAGAGACTTTCTCTCCTAGCTCAGCCCTAGTTTCCGACAGCACAAACTTCGTGCTGTACAAACGCGTCTTACCCTCTGGAGGATCCCCAAGTCCTCTCTCAGTCATGTTTGAGTTCTATCTCTTCAGACTTTGGGATACTTTCTGTTAGTATCTGGATTTCCTTGTAAAGATGTCTTGGTTTCTTCTTGTCGCAAGTCCCAACAGACTCATGCTTCCCGTGGACCCAGGAAACAAGCCATTTATACAGTGACTAAAACAAAATAAAAAGAATTAAAATGACTTTTTTATTCATACATGGGAAAAATGCCTAGTTCAGCTTTATTTACTAAGTTTGTTTAGTTTGAATACTATTTTCTCACTGAAACTTATCTAGTGAAGAAAAAATGTTTTCTGGCTTTCATGAGACTCATATTCCAAATCCTAGACTATAAATAGAAAAAAAAAACAAAAAACTTCAGATTATTAACCCTTGTATAGATGACATAACCTCCTAATACATTCTAGTGTGTCTGGAAGGATGTAAAAAGTAAGAACAAGTGACCAGAATCTTGAAGGAAACACCTTTGAAACTGAAATAAAAAGTAATTCCAAGAATAAAAATTTAAGTCACTGCTGAGTTAATCACTGCAGATTTCCCTTATGTCAATTTCTGTCCCATATAAATTTCTCAGAGTTTGCCTACCAGAAACTTCCATTTATCATTAACAAGAAACATGCACAGGGGTGACCTACAGATGAAGATGGCTGTCTTGGTATTAGGAAAAGCAAATACACATTTAGGGTTTCGTCACTAAGAGTGGTTTTCTTACAGTATTCTTTCATAAAATATGGAGATAGTTATCTCTTTATACGATCCCCTTCTATACACTGCTCAAAGAAGTTGTTGTGTTAGTCACTCAGTCATGTCTGACTCTTTGCAACCCCATGGACTGTAGATCAAAGAAGAATATATATAAATTATTAAAAGCTGTATACAAAAGGAATCAAAACCAGAGGTAACTTATAAGCAATAAAAACTCAATTATATCTTATATTCAGTTGGTGCAAACGTAATTGCAATTTGGGTCCTTGAATTTTAAATCATTATAACTAGGCTTGAATACAGCTTAATTAATCAAAATAGGAACCATTACAATCAACACATTTTTGCTAAAGAGAAATAAGTTTGTTTATTCCTGTAGCATGAAAATCTATGCTTAATGATTTGACAAACTCTTGGAAAGCATTTTCTGCATTGTTTGTTGTGGAAGTGTTTTCCCTGCAAAAAGTTTGAGATGCTTGAGGAAGTGGTAGTCAGTTGGTAAGAGGTCAGGTGAATACAGCAGATGAGGTAAAACTTTACAAATAAATAGAAAATCCAGTGACAGAGCAGTCTGGTGGGCTACAGTCCATAGGGTTGCAAAGAGTTGGACATGACTGAAGTGATTAAGCATGCATGCATGCACCTAATAATAAAAACTAAAAGGTACCTAGTAATAAATCTACAACACATATGCAAGGACTTTGAAGTCGGTGAAGTTTATGGTATGTAAATTATACCTCAATAAAACTATTTTTTAAAAAAAGAACTTCTAGGGAGAAAAGTATTAAAACTTTATTGAAGGACATAAAAAGGACCTAAGTAGAGAAATAAACTGTGTGTATAGTCAGTAAGATTCAAGGCCATTTAGTGCTAATTGCACTCATCTCACATTCTAGCAAAGTAATGCTCAAAATTCACCAAACCAGTCTTCAACAGTACGTGAACTGTGAACTTCCAGACATTCAAGCGGGATTTAGAAAAGGCAGAAGAACCAGAGATCAAATTGCCAACATCCGCTGGATCATCGAAAAAGCAAGAGAGTTCCAGAAAAATATCTATTTTTGCTTTATTGACTACACCAAAGCCTTTGTGTGGATCACAACAAACTGTGGAGAATTCTTAAAGAGATGGGAACACCAGACCACCTGATTTGCCTTCTGAGAAATCTGTATGCAGGTCAAGAAGCAACAGTTAGAACGACATGGAACAACAGACTGATTCCAAATCGGGAAAGGAGTATGTCAAGGCTGTATATATTGTCACCCTGCTTATTTAACTTATATGCAGAGTACATCATGAGAAATGCTGGACAGGATGAAGCACAAGCTGGGATCAAGATTGCTGGGAGAAATATCAATAACCACAGATATGCAGATGACACCACCCTTATGGCAGAAAGCAAAGAAGAACTAAAGAGCCTCTTGATGAAAGTGAAAGAGGATGAGTGAAAAAGTTGGCTTAAAACTCTACATTCAGAAAACTAAGATCATGGCATCTGGTCCCATCACTTCATGGCAAATAGTTGGGGAAACAGTGGAAACAGTGAGAGACTTTATTTGTGGGGGGCTCCACAATCACTGTGAGAGTTGGACTATAAACAAAGTTGAGCGCCGAGGAATCAATGCTTTTGAACTGTGGTGTTGGAGAAGACTCTTGAGAGTCCCTTGGACTGCAAGGAGATCCAACCAGTCCATCCTAAAGGAGATCAGTCCTGAATATTCCTTGGAAGGATTGATGCTGAAGCTGAAACTCCTTGGCCCTGATGCAAAGAACCAACTCATTGGAAAAGACCCTGATGCTGGGAAAGACTGAAGGCGGGAGGAAAAGGGGACGACAGAGGATGATAGGGTTGGATGGCATCACTGACGTGATGGACATGAGTCTGAGCAAGCTCTGGGAGTTGGTGATGGATGGGGAAGCCTGGTGAGCTGCAGTTAATGGGGTCACAAAGAGTCAGACACAACTGAGCGACTGAACTGAACTGAACGCCAATTCCCTCCAAAATAATCTGTAAATTCATTGCAATCTGAAACAAAATTTTCATACAATTTTTTTATTATATGTTTCTTATGAAATGAATGAGCTGACCCTGAAATTCGTAAAGAGCAGTAAAGAATTAAGAGTCAAGCTAATTCTGAAGGAAGAAAAAAGAATTCTGAAGGAGGGAAATCTTTACCAGATATATCAAGATATTAAAAACAATAGGGCACTGGCGTTAGAACAAACATAACAACACAGAATAGAGAGCCAAGAAATACGTACATACTTAAGTAAAGGAAACTGAGTGACAAAGAGAAAGAATGGACTAGTGAATAAACAGTTATGGGACAACTGATTTTTCAAATGGGGAAAAAAACTAGATTTCTACCTCCACAAAAATCAGTTGCAGATTAGAGACCTAAATGTAAAGTGCAAAAACTTTGAAATTTTCAGAAGAAAGTGGGGAATACCATTATAACCGCAAGGTTTTCTTAAGCAAGATATAAAAGACATACAAACCATGAGGGGAACAAATGTGATGACATTAAAAAAGTTATCTCTATACAAATAATCAAAATCAAGGTTAAAAGACAAATTCACTGACTAGAAAACTATCAGCAACACATATAATCATCAATGGATTATATCTAGAATACATAAAAACTACCCCAGATCAGTTAAGAGACAAATACTGCTATTTTGCTTTTTAAGTGGGCAAAAGAGATGAACAAGCAGTTAAATAAAAAGAGGACTCTAAATGTCTAATGAATTGGTAAGAAATGTAGGCAAGGAAATGCAAATATTAATGATGAGATACCATCTCACAACCACCAGATTGGGGGAAAAAAAAATGTAATACCAAGTGTTGGTGAGGATTTGGAGATACCCAGACCTGTATTTCGGAGAAGACAATGGCAACCCACTCCAGTACTCTTGCCTGGAAAATCCCATGGACGGAGGAGCCTGGTAGGCTGTAGTCCATGGGGTCGCTAAGAATCGGACACGACTGAGCGACTTCACTTTCACTTTTCACTTTCATGCACTGGAGAAGGAAATGGCAACCACTCCAGTATTCTTGCCTGGAGAATCCCAGGGATGGGGGAGCCTGGTGGGCTGCCGTCTATGGGGTCGCACAGAGTCGGACACAACTAAAGCGACTTAGCAGCAGCAGCAGCAGACCTGTATTGACAATGAGGCCACCTGTTACAACTTGGGAGGGCAATACAGCAATACCGAGTTGACACACACATTCTACAAATCAGCAATTCTTTTAGACATGTACCTTAGAGAAACTTTTCCTAAAGTGCCCAATGGTGTTTGTGGCAGCATTGTTAAAAAAGAAGAGGAAAAACTGAGAAAATCTTAAATGTCTATAAATAAGGAACTAGTTTTAAATTGTGGCATATTCTTTAAATGTAGTATTATATATAGCAATTAACTAGTTATGTATAAAAAATTCATAAATGTTCAATATTAAAGCCTTCATATAAAATATAAGAAGCATAAAATACTACGTGTGTGTGTGTGTGTGTACTCAGTCATGTTCAACTCTTTGCAACCCCATGGACTATAGCCCACCAGGTTCCACTGTCCAAAGAATTTTCCAGGCAAGAATACTGGAGTAGGTTGCCATATCCTACTTCAGGGGGTCTTCTCGATCCAGGAATCAAATCTGAGTCTCATGTGTCTCTTGTATTGGCAGGCAGATTCTTTACCACTGCACCCCCTGGGAAACCTATAAATACTATAGAGTGATTAAAAAATAATTAAACAAATAAAAAAAAAATGAACCAACTACTGATACATAAGATGGATGAATCTGAAAAAATGTGATGAGTGAGAAAAGCCACACACAAGACTATATGCCAAATGATCTAATTCATGTGAAGTTCTAGAATGGCCAACGGTCTACAGTGAGGGAAAACAGAGAAGTGGTTCCAAGGGTAAGGACTACTGACTAGAAAAGGGCATGAGAAAACCTTTTGGGGTAATGAAAGTGTTCTATATTTTTACTGAGGTGGCGGTTACATTTGTCATCAAGCTTAAAATCTGTGCATCTTATTGCAAGCAGGATATCCTCAATAAACTTAATTTCATGTAAACCTAACTGAATGCTTTAAAAAAAAAAAACATATTACTTGGAAACTAGGTTGCAGTCAACAAGCAATCTGCAAAGGAACACCAGAGATATATCTATAATCTTACAATTGCTCAATATATGCCTTTCTTATCACAAGGCACACATCATTTCTATAGCCCATTTCACTCAGACCCTTGGACACACACTGCTGTTCATAGCTGAACCAGTATTCCCTCAAGGCTACAAGGAAGAAATGGTATAAGCACAGAAGTTCTTGATGTATCTTCAGAAGAAATTACATGGTGGGGTATTTGGGAGACCTGGAGGCAGATTCCAGAGGCAGGTCAATTTTTTGAACTGTGTCTAATCCATACCAGGAAATGTGTGC